GTGAGTGAAGCGTGGTGCGGGGGCCGTCGTGCCGCATCCCTGGTGAGTGAAGCGTGGTGCGGGGGCCGTCGTGCCGCATCCCTGGTGAGTGAAGCGTGGTGCGGGGGCCGTCGTGCCGCATCCCTGCGATGTCCGATCGCGATGCCCCCCTTAAATCTTGTAACATTTTGTGCCATATATATGTGTTCGTGTGTGCATACGTGTGCGCGTGCGTGCGTGTGTGTATGTAGGAGTGATAGATAGATTAATGGATGGATAGATGGACGGACGGACGGAGGGTGGATGGATGGAGGATGGATGGATGGGTGGAAGGATGAATGGATGGATGGATGAACGGATGGATAGATAGTAGGGCTGTAACGATACACAAGCCTCTCGATTCGATCCGGTTCTCGATATTAGCCTCGATTCGATTCCTTAGATCCGATTCCCAAAATATTGAAATGTTATCTTATTTTTTATATTTTCATTATTTTGCAATAATAAATTATTAGAAGTTGGCAATGAATACAAATGGTGAATAGACTAGAGAGTCTAGAGAGTATATATACACTGCACAGTCACTGAGTAGCATTGGTGAGTAACACCAGAGCATATAAATCAGTGATTTATATGCTCTGGTAACACTCCACAGTATATAGCGTAGTGCCGCCATCTATTGGAGGAAAAAAGTGGTATCGAAGTGGAATCGAAAATACGGGGAAAAATATCGAGGATCGGATCGAGGGAAGAGAATCTCGATTTCGGTGGATCGTTACAGCCCTAATAGATAGATATGGATATTATTCTTGTTTTACTATTAGAACTATTATTCCGTGCTACGAGAAAGTAATTGATAGCAACGAAGTAGCATAAGCGAATATGCATATATAGAGTAAATAATAAAACGAAACCGACCAAGTGCTACTAAATGTACGCCCCCAGGTATCTCGTGCTGCACCATCAATGGTTGCGCTCATTAGCGATATTCTCTGTTCATCTAAATCTATATTGTTTGCTGATATTGTTTCTGTTAATCGCTCGGCCTTCGTCGCACCCTCGTGCAGATTCACGTCTATCCGGAGACGGCCACGGACGTGTTGATGGAGGCCGTCGCACACAACTACCTGTTCAGTGCCGACGCCGACACCGGCGTGGTGACAGGCTACAGGATGTCGCTCACGGCCGAGAAGGTGCCGCCGCATTTTTTCGACGTCGTCGTCTCACTGTGTGGCGCGAATTCGTTCGACGATGGAGTGTTCTACAATGAAATGTTAACGAGTTATTGCTTTTGCGTCTCATGTCGCTTTTCATCTTGGGGTGTAATTTGGTCACAAATTTGATTTGATACGAGCAATAATATCGAGAATATTGATAGATATATTATCATAGATGTATTGAATCATAATATTTATGAGCTCCCGTCTATGCGGACGTGAATACGTTTGTTGTGAACCCTACGTGTTATCATTTTCCTCCACAGGGATTTACAAGTGAGCCAGTGTGGAGTGTAATCCTATCTAAGGATACACAGAGAATTACAAACGTCGTGGCAAAACGACAGAACGGTGAGTCGAAGGCACGAGTAAATAAAAAAATTCAGAATTTAGTACCGTGAAAAAGTTTGTGGCTACTATTTAAGCTATTATGTTATTTCGCCATCACGCACACTTCAATAGAGCTATCATGCACAAATCGTTTGTCAGTATATATTTAAGTCACCAATTAATCTTAGACAAAACACTCTGCATAATAATGGTGTCACTATCGGTGTATTAATCCACGTGCATTCTCAACTGGTAATTCAATTGCATTCTCTACTACTACCTCACTTGCATTCTCAACTGCACGCCTGAAATTTTGTGTGACATATTTGCAGAGCACGTTCACTCGCAGGGCAGAGTGTTGGGAGACCGTAGTGTGTTGTACAAATACCTGAATCCCAACCTAGTCGTCTTCACAACGGAGGGACAAGATGATCAGGAAAAAAGTATGTTCTTTAGACAGCTGCACGGTTGAAAGAATCCCCACGTGTACTGACCACTGTGGCATTTAATTAGACAATTAGGATTTAATTTTCCTGACAAGCTTAGAGACAAATTTGTTGTAAAATTTTTGCTTGGAATTTATAACTTGGGATGTTTACTTAGAATGTGATTTATCCCTTTCATTGAATTCTTAGTCTCATGATACTTACTAAAGGAGTACGTGTAGTTAGATTAATTCATTGTTATAGCTTTTGAATAATAACTTGATGTTTTTATGCAGCTATGAATGTTTAACCATTGACTATTGAGAATTGGCCAGTGAAAATAGTGACAATATAGTCTGTCTAGAACTATATATTAATCTATATAATATATATTATTACATATTATATAATAACTTATAATCTGTACATTTAAATTTTCAGGTTACGTAACACTGTACCTCATTGACGTCATCAGTGGGCAAGTGGTTTTCAGCGCAAACCATCAACGAGCCAAAGGTCCCGTCAATATTGTGCACTCTGAGAATTGGGTCGTGGTGAGTCAGAATGATTTCTCTCCTAACTCCAATTGCACGGCCCGGGCATACTTAAACGTGTAGGTGTGGAGCCACGTCCAACGACTCGCTTTTGCAGGATGTTGTAAAAATATTATGAGTACTAGTATATTTTCGAGACCTAGAACGTTATGATTGAATATGTATTAAGAAGAATTATATTGTTTGATGATTTTGTAACGAAGAACATGGTCTCAAAACAGATTGATACATAAGTGTAATTCTATGTAAAACTGTCCACATGTAAGGCCGCATTTTTACTACACAGTTTTCACTAGGCAAGTCATTATCTGTACCATAAGGTGTTGTCGACTCTTATCTATTTATGTGCATATGCTTTTAGTACACATACTGGAATCAACGGTTGAGACGCCACGAGGTGGCAGCACTAGAGATGTATGAGGGAAGGACACAAAGCAATACGACTGCGTTTTCATCGTTAGCGCCGCCGCCAACGCCAATCGTTGAGCGCCAGGCTTACATTCTGCCTTACACTGTTGTGGCGATGACGACCACCATAACAGAGAAAGGCATTACAAACCGACACATACTGTGTAAGTTCACCGACCCGAAAACAGTAATAGTCACTGCAATTGTTGAGTTGAGAGGTTTAGTGAAGAAAGCTTTGTGATACTCAGGGCGCGAGGCATATGCCAGCAAATTATTTGGAGGGCCGGTAACATTGGCAAAACACCGGCCCCCCGAGCCGGTGGTTTTGGCTGTGTTAGCGAGTACCTATATTTTTATTTATAGCATTAATGAGCAAATAGCCTACAATACTGTTTTACCTGAAGGATATCACGCCATAATTTATCAACATTTTACAAATTTGAAATCGAGAATGCAAGCGTGAAATATGACATTGAATTTACGAACAAAATTTGTGACGGCTGGTAAAAAATTGCTGTTACCAGCCCTCTGGGCCGGTGCAACGAAATCTGAATTTCGTGCCCTGGGTAATGGGTGGACTGTAGCTACATACCTTACCCTCCCTCTCGCCCACCCACCCTCATGTCTTTAAGCTGGGTATAGTTGCCGTTCACCATTATAACGCTCACCTACGTAAGTAGCAATTTCAAACAAAATTACAACGAAATACAACACGGTGGATTGTCTTGGTCGGTGTGGCGTTTTCCTGTTAACTAAAAACCACAAAACATTTTTGTGCTCAACAGTGGCCTTGGCTGACGGTGGTATATTGGACCTTCCAAAGGCCTTACTGGATCCAAGACGTCCAAATACGCCGACAGCCGAGCACAGGTACTCACGACGTGAACTAGTGTAGCAAAATACAGAGGCAGTCTCTCTCTTATTCTGTAGGATGGGTCATTTCACAATATACTTCCAGATCAGGGTATGAAGTAATTTGATTGTTAGATCAAACAGTTTTGTTGACCAGGGTAACGAGTAGCAACCAGGGTAGTCTTTGCGAATAATATTTACCGGTAACATTTATCCCCTTTAATAACACATTATTATCTGACTTAAGGATACTCTCAAGGTTTTAGGAAAAATTTTACGGATTTTTTATTTTCAACTTTATTCAATGGCTAACACTATGTGCCACCTGTCTACATGCTCATTTCTCCATATAACGGTACATGTGAATTGTCAGAGCGTTTTGATTGCCCGCGTGCATGTGTAGTGAGCTGCGGCTGACGTCATGATGATGTCAGAGACATGATACAACCAGGGTTACGATATATTCACGATATTCACTGAGCCAGCCAGTATCCATCAACATCAACCCTGCTACAGCTGTACTACTACCCTGATCCAACAATTATCCCACAAGAGCCCAAAATAGTTATCACACCTCGCAACACACCTTACATAAGGCGCACGTTTGTTGACAGTTCATGCCATTTTGCATGAAATTGCGTTGGTCACCTTTGTTTCTCAGAATTTCTCAAGGTGCATGGAACATTTTACCAATTTAGTTGTGTGAGTTAGTCATGGATATGTCGCAGTAAGTTCTAACAGTAGATATTTCACATACGTTCACCCATTTTTCACACAGGCGGTCGATCATTGTGAAAAATAGAAAAACGCTAATTTCTCCGTTCCAATTTCTGACTTAGTAGTCGATGTATAAACGGATATCTCTATGTGATTACAACTCGGAATAATTTAATTTTACACTCGTTTTAATGGTAACATCTTACTGTAAAAAAGAACGTCAGGGATTGCTATTAAGTGCCGTATTTTATGAATTATGTCTCTTTATTCGCTAAAATTTTAAATTCAAACGTGGGACTTGAATTTTAGGCAGTTTTTTTTTTCTTGGTAAATATGAAACTTACACAAAAATCCTGATGCGCTATTTTGGGACATATTGTGCTTAACATGTGGCAAACATTTTGTATCCTCACTCTTTCTGGTAATTGAGAAATATCCAAAGTACAATTTTTACATAAAAATTCAAAATTTGTGTGGTAACATAATTAGGTGCTGGAAATTTCATGAAATCTTTTGGCTTGAGCATAGTCAGAGATATATCTCCTCTATAAATAAAACAAGTGATTGATTCGATTCATTCGTCAATAAACGTTTAATCTTCATTAGAGCAATACCCATGCAAAAGGTGGAGAATATCCTTAATTTGTCCGATGATTGACACTGTATATGCATTGTATATAAGGTGGGAGACTTACAATCATAAATTATACTATGTGTGATGCGTTTTATGTCTAATATTGTTTCTTTTCAGAATTATATTAGGTTTGTGTTCAGTTTATTTTATTGAGTCTTTGGTCGTACAGTAGCCATTGCCTTCCATCCATGCCATGCACTGGTCGTGCCATTGTTTCAGGCCTGACGTTCTTCCGACCATAAACCCATTGAAGTTGATATTCAACAAAATGGGGAGCAAATCCGTTTCCAGGTATCCTTTCCTTCCCAGAATCCCGACTGAGTCAGTATGGATTTGTGTCAATATTTTACATTGTTATTATGGAAGAGAAATCCGTATTTGGTATCATTTTGATGTTTTGGATGACAGGTTGTTGCATATATTACTAGAAAGTTTGAGCCAAAAAAAATTCAGGAAAATTGTGGGATTTTTAAAACACTGGTTTGACACAGAACACAGCTCAAGAGCTAACATTTATATTTACATAGTGTTTGTGTAGTTCTGTCGGTTTCCTCATTACCTGAACACAATCCTGTGGTTTTCCCATGTCCATACCAAGGTATCATTAATCTGAAAAAAATACAACAAAGTATTCAGTGCTATAATACGGTCAAACATCTATTTTTATTATATGATAAAACCCCAGTATAAATGCAAATCTGAAAGCTGTACACACATCTGTACGCACACGCATGCATGCACGCACAGACGAATGCACACGCAAACGCCCAAGCACGCATGCATGCTCTGCACGCATGCACTATACCATTAGGCTCACATACATATGCACCCCTATATGCACATATGCACCCCTATATGCACATATGCACCCCTATATGCACGAATACTGCACCCCTATATGCATCATATGCAGACCGCCTAAGCACATATGCACCCCTATATGCAATAATGCACCGTCTCTAATACTGCACATATGCACCCCTATATGCACCCCTATATGCACATATGCACCCCTATATGCACATATGCACCCCTATATGCACATATGCACCCCTATATGCACATATGCACCCCTATATGCACATATGCACCCCTATATGCACATATGCACCCCTATATGCACATATGCAACCCTAGTAGCTTTGATTTAATTCGTAGCATTAGTTTAGTAGATAAATGTTTTTTTTACATTCTGTATAATCCATTGGCAGGGAGGAGGGTCTCATTCCCTACATGCCTGAGATTGGAGCGCCGAAGGAGATGATCATTAACTACAACAGGAGTGTTTTTAACATTGATGCGATATACAGCGCCCCGGCGGGTCTCGAGTCCACCACACTCATATTTGCTTATGGCCTAGGTGAGAATAAGCGTCAGATGTTCAATCTTCTTTAATTTTCGTAAGAAAGCCGTGCGTGTATTACGGTTATAATACTTATATAAGATGTAGGGGAGGGTAGATGATGACAAATCTCTTTATTGACGATTTGTGTTGCACGCACGCACTCACACACTCACTCACTAACACACGCACACACGCACACTCACTAATGCACGCACGCACTCACTAACGCACTCACGCACGCACGGATGCACTCATTCACGCACGCACGCACGTAGTCTCGCACGCTCTACATGAGAAATTAATTACAGGCTATATTTATTAATCTAGAAGATTCGCGTACAGATAAGAATATGATGTAGAATATGATGAATATATTCAACCGTGTATATTAACTCGTGGTTTTGCTACACGTCTCACCGTTTCAGACTTGTTCTGTACGAGAGTGTGGCCTTCGAAGATGTTCGACGTGCTAAAGGATGACTTTGACTACTGGCTGATCAGTGTCGTACTCACAGCTCTCATCCTCTCATCAATCATACTGCAGAAGATGGCCGCTAGAAAACAACTGCACGCCGCCTGGAAATGATGCAGGCTGCTCTAGTGTCAACTTAAACTTTTAATTTTAATTGAACATTAAGTTTCACGTATTTATGTGTTCCGTATCATATTTAACGTACTTTCGTGGTTTCGTCCTTCCGTGGATGCTAACAAAAAGGCTGCATGTAAATTTTGCACAAAGTACGAAGATGGCGTGGACAACGATTATTACGAATTCATTATGTAATTTTTTTCGTAACGTGTGATTGTGAGTATGTGCATCATTCCTAACAACCTCATGTTAGTACCAGGTAGCGATCTACACCCTGTTCTAGTGAGACGAGGCATGTATACACCGTATGAGAACGTTAATGGAAGCGTTTTGTGACACTTGTTGTACAGTCGATTACGATGATCATACCTATACGGTGCACAGTATACACGTGTATAGATATCAAGAGTGTTATAATATAGACACTCCTATCCATCTATAATATGACACTTCTGATATTATCATGTGCTATGCTGCTCTTCACTAGTTCCCAACATGAAGTAACGTTGAATTTATGCGTATCTTGGCAACGTAGACATAATGGCTTATATTACGATTTACAACGAGCTGGTCAAGAGTTATACACAGTTGAACGTTCGAGATCGCGTTTGAAGAATGTGATTATTGAAGAGACACGAAAGAAGCATTTTGTCGTCGCGGCTGCATTCCACTTGAAGAGGTACGAGAGATTTCCATTCGCTATAAATTGTGTTTCGAATCTGCCACATTGTTCAACCATTTAAATAATAATGACATCGTTTTTCCTTAAATTTACTTCGATAATTGTAATGCTACACAATATAGTAGGGCAGCCTTATATGATATTCCCTTATCAACTGAACATGACTTTCTATAATGGTTTGTATGCAACCAGGTAGATGTGGGGCACTTTCGCCAGATGGCATCCTGTGCTCACACATAGCATGTCGTAAACTGTATCAATGAGGCATATTATGTTAACGGTGTCCACTAAATGGTTTTGCTGAAGACCCGATTTAACTATTGCCTCCATTGTAGTTAACCCGATTTGTTACCGAACAATTTTAATAAAACCCACGTGACACGGGTTTCGAAAATGGATGGTCTCGTTGTTCATGTGCGACGTCGGTCGTTAATGGCTCCCGTAATTTGTATAATAGTAGGAAGCTTTGCATGTGGCGCAGACAATCACGTTGTCTCTCGTATGCAAACGTCTACAAACACTCATACCAAGTGCACGTGTGTGGCAACGCGTGCCTTAACTCACGAGTTCAACTACGTGTGCTGTACCAGTATTTGTAAGTTTTTGTAATAAAAACGTTTTGGTTGTTACTTTATGTGTATGTATTCGCCGTAACTTTTGAACCCGTTACGATTATAATTTCTTAAATACGTGTTTTTAAACGATGCGTGACCTTGTAAAGGAGCTCTGTTTGTGATGATCGCACCAAGTTCCAGTTTATTCCGTTCTTTCACGAACTGCCGTCGCTGCGATGTTTTGGAAACTTGTTCTTCTGGGAAGCATATGCAACACGTATATGCAGGAACCCGCGCGCGAGGTGTATGTGTGTGTGTCTTATCGTACCGTGTTTGGTGCGACACATGATGTCAATAATTGGTCCGTGTGTTGAGCTATGTATGTAGGGGGATGGGGGTGGGGGTCGTCAGTTATCAAGTAGTTAGCTACGTTTGTTTCCTTCGGAAGTTGCCAACCATGCTTATTGATCGATTGTTAATGTATGATCGAACGATGAATCGATTGCTTTTCTAAGATTTAGCACATTTGTGTTTTAACTAAAACACTTAACGTTATGTACTTTACGTTTTTGTGTAAATCATTATTCAAGTTTCAAGTGTTCACAGTCCATCGGTGAGACTTCTCTCGAGGTTTGAGTCCGTAGAATTTTGCTCGATTTGCTCTTCGGTTTACCATTTTGTTAGCAGTTGTGGTGTGTATAGTAAAGCCAACGCATTTTGTTATAAACAAGGCTCTAGCAGTTTATTATCTACATTTGTTCCAGCCATGCTGCGTAATATTCTGCATTAAAACCAAGTCATGAGCATAATCCACGTTCCTATCAATGGGCTTCACTTAACCTATAATGTGCTGCCACCTGCGACCCATAACCAACAACAACTGAACAGCACATTCACAGCCACGAGAACATAATATCGCCAGAATAACTCGACCGTAAACACATCTGGTGAAAGTCATCGGACGGGAAATCTTTTAACTGAATTTCTAAAACTTGCATTTCCATGACACTTAGTTTTCTGGTTAAATTCAGACAGGTGTCTTCACTCACTTGCCTTGGCTCTAATCTTCACCTTGGCCAACTGTACATTGGCTCTTTTTCACAAACGACGCGAAGCGAAGCTCTCCCATGGTAAAATATGAACATAGACGCTCATCTAATCCTTACGTAGTGCAGGATTCAAAGAAGGCTTACTTGGTCCACACGTCTCTTGTAAGTGTTTGTGTAACCATGAGAACATTTACACCATAGGTACGTCAATTTATCGGTGGACATCAACCGTCATCAATGCTCCTTCACGGACTTGCATCGATGAATGCCATAACCGAGAGAAGGTGACAAAACAGGACATCATAGGCCTATCGCTAGATCAGTAAACATCAGTAGGTATGACAATCATAACTTTAAAATGTCATATATAGTGAAGTGAAACGCTGTGCACAAATTTTGACATTTGAGACATTTTAGGATCGTCATAACTACTTATGATTTTACTAAAAAGTGCCTCTTCACCCCAGGACAGCGATGTCGTTAAGCAAAACACCGAGCCGCGCCTGCATTGTGCATCGTAGAGCAACCGTCATTAATCGAAGGAAGGTTGGAGAAAACAGTTGCGATAAAAGGGAAGAGATTGCGTCCGCCTCCGCGCATCGTAGAACAAACGTCGTTAATCGAAGGAAGGAAGGAGAGAAAGACTGCGATGCAGGGAACAAGAGATCGTTCAGAGGAGCTTTCCTAATCGAAGGAACAAAGAAAAGAACAGTCGTGATAAAGGGGAACGATTGCGCCCGCCTACGCGCATCGTCGAACAAACGTCGTTAATCGAAGGAACGAACGAAGGAGAGAACTGTCGCCAACGCAGGGAAGAAGAGACGAGCTCAGACGAGCTTTCCTAATCGACGGAAACGAAGGACAGAGCGACAGACGAGCTCAGACGAGTTTTGCGAGCCACTCGATGACGGGGGCGAGCTGGGCAGGGCCGTCGTCGCCGCTCTCCGAGCCGTGCGCGCTGCAGTCGCAGAACTCCACCTTCACGCCGCCGCCGAGGTGCGAGAACTCAAAGTCCTTGCCGCGCTTGCCCAGGTGCACGCTGCCACTCCCCGAGCTGTCAATAGACTCCAGCGCCGCGGCCCGGGTGATGCGCAGCATGTTCCTGCGCAGAGTAAACACAGCAGTTCATGAACACAGCAGTTGATAAAGACAACAGTGTTCGTAAACACAGCAGTGTTCGTGAACGCAGCAGATTGTAAACACGCAGTGTCCGTGACAGCAGTAAAATGTTGCGCGTGTAGAAAGCAATGTTTATCCCTGGTCGCTTACCCTCATGTCACCAAACAATGGAGGATAGGAGGATACGTCACATTCATAAATGAATGTAGCAAACTCTTTTGCAACTGGATTGCCAGTGGGCCTGTGGAGGTGTGATGTTGACGCCATACGATATTACTACTGAGTACTTTTACCCTTACTTAGCCTAATTCATTCTCGGTATTGTCAGCTGCGATGGGAAAGAACAACAAGAAGTGTTGGGGAAGAACGACGAGAGAGAAAAAAAGTTTAGTGAATTGCCAACGAAACTGTTCAGTACTTAGAATTAGGCATCACCTACACACATTTGGCATTAATTTAATAAATTATCAGTTTTCTTACATTTCCTTCTCCAAGAGAGGTTTAAGTGCTTTGGCAGACTTGGCCATGGTCACATCTGTAAAATTCAGTTACTTAATCAGGTCGAGCAGATGGTATGATATTATTATTATTATTATTATTAAATCTTTATTGCATGTATTGTCTTTTTCATTGAGAAAAAATCTGATAAATGCAATAGTCTTGCAATCAAACACAATATTCGAATTAGCAAGTAGTAAAGGCAAATCTACCACAGTTCAGATATGGACAGCTGACAAATACAAAATGTGAAGGCTATGTGAGATCACATAGTTACGTAACAAGCACAGTGTTGTTATTATTATTATTACCTTGCTTGTTGCATGCAATCAACACTGGAATGCCATTTGAAGAAACAAACTTGTCAGATAGCACATTGTAGAGTAACCTAAAAATACAGAATACACCTGTAAACAACTGTTTATCGCTCCAAATCACAACTGGAGAATTAAAACAACCATTATCAGAGCCAACAATGCAGGTTTCCAACAAACTTATTCCAGAATGCATTTCCACTGCATAAAAAATAAGACCAATTATAGCTGCGTTCACACGAGGATTTCAGTTCCGTACTTGAGCGTTCACACGCTAAAATATACGCGGCTTATTCAGTACCGTACTTAAATACGCGGGTTGCTTAGCGCGGAATCATATTCCGCGCCAACTCAGCCGCGTATATTCGGCATCACGCTGGCCGCGTATTGTCTGTCGTGTTAACGCATTCGAATTGCGAAACTGTAGCGTGCTAACCTAGACTGGTACCCGTTCGCTGCACGACGTTAGTGTAGCGTGTGGAACTGTCGACCGGGTACCAGTCTATATTATACCTAGCTAGCTAAGCCTCGAATCTCGTGTATCTCGTGTGAACGCATTTCAGCCGAACTCAGCACCAACTAAGTACGGAACCAGCGAGGCCGTGTATACGTGTGAACGCAGCTTATACCATTAAAATATCTATACAATGTATACAATATATATATATATATAGTGTACATACAATATAAATATATATACAATGTATAGATGTGTTCATCGTGATACCAGTTGCAATTTTACAAACACAAATTTGCAAAATTGGACAATATAACAAGGATATACTATGAAAACGAAGGATAATAACTTACTCTGCTACATCCCTCATGTCCTTCTGTGCAGTAACACTATCAACTACAAATATTATGCCCCTGTAAACAGACAAACATCAAGAACTTATACAAATCTGCTTTCAGTGTAAACGTTGTAAAGGTAAAATGAAATGCATTGTAGTAAATAATAATGCGCAAGTATATTCAGAATTTTTCATATACAGTCCGACCTCCTTTATCCGGCCACGTCGGGACCGGCACCCATCTGGATATGCGATTTGGCCGGATATGAGTTATGCTCAAACACAGCATTTCTATGCAGTTCAGTAGGGTTTATGCATGTGATAATGTATTTACTCATTGCTATGATTATTTGTAACAAACTGTCGTGTTTTATGGTTTATATGAAATGGAAATAAAATGAAATAAAACAGAAATTTTACCACTTTGGTTTATGTTTGTTTCTTTTGTGCTGAGATCTAGGGCTGTAACGATCGATACACTCGCATATTCGGTACACCGAATATTTTGTTGGACGATACGTATTCCTTATTCGCGTCGTCATTATTCAAATACTGACGAATACAAATAATATAAATGGAACCTACGTGTACTTGAAAAAATCTTTTTTTAACTGCAATTCTATGCCGATTTGCTCGAATTCTGAATGACGTTTGCAGCTTTCCCCGTAAACGCACCTAGACTGGTACCCGTCCCTTCCACATGTCGAGAAGGCCGGGACGTGTATCTTACTATCACGTCTAACTCACCCCATATCGAGCGTGTGAGAAGGGACGGATACTAGGGATGCAGCGGTATACCGGTATTTCGATATTATCGCGGTGTAATATTTTAGAATTATCATATTGTAACCAGCTCAATACCGTGGTTTTCTTGTTAACATGTGATATACACGTGTACAGTGATGTCACGAAAATCGGACACAGCCATGCCTCATTTTTCCAGCCATATGTGCGCGGCAGCAGCGCCTTTGATTGAAGTACGGGGCTCGATCGATCGCGAGTGCGTAGCGTGGTAGCACGTTTCACTAACGTCCGCTAGTAAAAGTTGTTCGCTTACGGACGAAAGTTGTCCGGAGGCATAGCGGACACGAGCAAACACACACACGCGCGCGCGCGCACACACACGCACGCACGCACGCGCATGCGTGCACACACATACTCTTAGAATAATCATTGGTACATCGCGCGAGTTTTGAGCGAGATATTTAGGTGGAAATGAATGAAAAACAGAGAACATACACTGCGAGATCGCGGCCGGTTAATAGAGATTTTCGGATAACGGGTGGCCGGATAAAGGAGGTCGGACTGAAAATGCAAAGATTTCTCCATAGAATTTATTTAAATAATAGTTAACAGTGCTAGATCAATTATACGTTTCGAGAATTGGACAATAAAATTTTATGCATTCTACCTGGCTGTGTTCTTGGATTTTTCAAAGAAGGCAGACCTGACCCTCTCATAACCTGGTAAGTCCACTATCTGCAGAATTCCAGGCTTCTGCAATTACAAGAAATGGTGCTGAATTTCAGTATTATACACAAAATTCACACATAGATAAAGTTAATGAAGAAAAGAAAGAATGAATATTTAAGTGAATAAAACTAATAATTGATGATAGATTGTCATTAATGTAGATTTTGACATGGCTACTGTAAATAAATACCCGTAATAATTTTAACTGATGTATTAGAAATCTTCTTATTTATTATGGGAATCATGCAATACCTTTTTGTCTTTAACATGAAAGAGTCCCTTGTTCTCTTTTTGTGACGTGTATGATTTAATATATTTTCCATGCACAAGCTAAGATTGAAACAAATAAATATTAAGTAACAAATATAAAAACAGAAGCTGAAATATCAGGTATAGATGCTATTTATCAACAGAGTAATGCTTAGGCTCTGATAAGATACTTGCTGTCACTTTTGGTAACACAACCTCTTCTTATGTTCACAAGAAGATCACTCAGGAAATGTAAACATTTTTCACATAATAAAACTCAAGTTGCCCGGTTAACATTATTGGACAGTAATGGACTACACACATTATATTACACACGTCGACCAAATTACTCCCACATTTACGTTTTGACCTAAATAACTTCATCCAAGCTTGTGATGTGAGCATACCTACCCGTGCGTAGAGTAACGTCTTTCCGGCTTCACAGAGACCAAGTAACAAAACTCCCTTTCTGTCTGTTTTCTGCTTAAATAACCTAAAAATAACTGACCAAAAAATACATTACAGCATTATAAATATCGAGCCTCATTACATTTGACTTATATGACGTATCTTATCAATATTAGATGTGTCTTTGAAAAACGCACTGCTTAAAAATTTACAGATTTGGCCACAATAAAAAAATCTTTGTTTGTCCTCACCCGAGTATAGGCTGAAAAGTTTGGGTAGGTAGGTAGGCTTTTTTTAGGTCTTTTTACAAATTCAGCATGGTGTCTAATTAAGCTGGTGCTTGTGTGGAGATACCTTTTATGTTGAATGTTTGTTTTGCTTGGTACATATAATGTATTGCCTACAGATTTATATAATGTACAGTGATGAAAAAAGAATAGGAAAGCTCAATAAAATTTGTTGAGTCATCCGCTTTTTGGCGGGTCGGTCGGGCGAGGGCAAATAAACAATATTTTTATTATTGCTTTTAGGGTTATGGTTCTGGTCAAGTTCAGGGATAGGTTTAGGGTGAGGGGCAGGTTTAGAGATAGGATTGGGGTTAGGGCAGGTTTATGGATAGGTTTAGGATTAGGACAGGTTTAGGGGTAGGACAGGCCTGTTTAGGGTTAGGACAGGTTTAGAGTTAGGACAGGTTTAGGGATAGGTTTGGGGTTAGGAACAGGGATGGGGTTATGGACAGGGATGGGTTTAGGTGTAGATTTAGGTGTAGGGATAGGTTAGAATTATGGAAGCTACTCAGGAGTTGTTTAGTAATTTATACTAGTAAATAAGAGCTGATTAATTGCATTAATTTGATTTAACGCCGGATGCGCCAACTTCAATGTTGTGATAGATATGGTATCCAGGTACTAAGGCAGTACGCAGACAGCGAGCGTGACAGCTACCTGCAGTTAAGCTGAGAGGGTCTATGTCCCCCAGGGTACTGCCGGAACGTGTACCCTGGTACTATCTAATATGCCGGACCGTACCTCGCCTATCCTACTAACGAGTCTAGGGAGTCGCCTACGCAAGGCTCGACACTAGCGGTGGCCCGGTGGCCCGGGGCCACCAAAACTTGATGTCGGGCCACCAAAATTTCCAAAAGTTAANAAAATCTTCACGATTACCGCGTTATGTCCCATCGGGGGACCAGCAGGAGAAGTAAGTAAGTAAATCTTCGCGATGTCACACTGGTGTGGCGACAGAAACTCTCACGTCTATATTATCTGGTCAATATAAGCGTGATTACTGCATGGTGCTGCTTAGACCCATGAATATAATCCGATTAGCATCAGATTGTGACAATTTCTGTGGCACAATTTATTGATCTAGGTGATGTTAATCGATAGAGAGCAATATGCCGTCTATACAATCGCCTGCTGACTGTTAACACTGAGTACATTAGTTGTTGCCATGTCAAATAGCTAGTGCCATTAGTAATGATCGACTTATATACAGTATTTGCTACCGTAGCCCGACCAGGCTCTACGACTGTTTCACGTCGTAGGAAGGTCACCACGTAGTAAGAAGCGAGAAGGTACCGGTGTGGCTTGCTACCGGTGTGCACAAACGCCCCCATGTA